GGACACTCCCACATGGCCAACCAGGGTTCAAGTCCTGAATCTGGCAGCTTGCTTTCCTACTTCCTCTCTCACTCTCACCCTCTGTCTCTCTCTGTCAAATTAAAAAATAAATGAGTAAATAAAAATAAAATGAATAATTATTTTTAAAAAAAGATAGTATAAAGCAGATTTGATTATATAATCTCTGTCCTGAAGTATGTTAAGTGAGTTATTTTAAACTTCTTTCCCCAGCTAAGTATTAGCTCAGGCTTATATTGCAGGCAATTATAATGTATCTAGATGCTTATCCCCATTACAAAGCTCCCACAGACTGAGTTAAACCTTGTTAAAGCTATTCTGCTGCTCTCGAAGATTTTATGATTCATTAGATACCTGAGATAGCCCAGGAGTTTTTTTTTTTTTTTTGGGAAGGGTTTTGCTGTAGGGAATGTGCGCTCGCCAGAAAGACAGAAAGCGAGAAATCACCCCACCACTTCCCCCACCCCCAGGAGAGATGACCACACTGTCATCCCTTCTCTTCCATTCTCCTCTCAGGATCTTGGGCACACATGCACGTGTGCCTGGTGTGAGTTTAAGCCACCAGGTCCAGGACTCGAACTGTGGTCAACTACATGGGAGTCCAGTGACATAGCCATGACTCAAACTGCTGATCCCAGGAATTCACATTCCTAACACTTGTTCAGGTAATCCTCATGTTGTTCTTTCAGGTACCATAACTTTCAGAAAATACAGTTTCCTTCCAGTCTTCCATAGAGCGAAAGCTACTGATAATGTCTCAGTTATTTTTCTATCTTGGCTTACCATTTTTCCAAAAGACCACAAAGTAGTTTTTAATCAGGTTTGTTGTAAATACAGCTTAGATGTATTCAATTTTCAGTAATACACTTTTCACTTTTATAAACTTGATATTAAACTGTAACATTTTACAATACAACATGTTGAGGACTGTGCTTCATGTTTTTGTTGAATACATTGTTCTCCTAGGAATAAGTCCCATAGTGGACAACAAATCACTGTCAATGGTCGAATATAGTACTGAACCTTTACTGGATTGTCAGAAAAGTCATTTTTTTTTTTTTTTATGTTTTTATGCCAAGAATGTGTCATGACTTTTCAGACAACCCACAATAGGAGATAAGTAACAATAACTAAAAGTAGAACTATTAGTAACAGTAAATTGTAATAAAAAGAAATGTGAATGTGGTCTTTCAATCTTAGTCTGTTACACTCCCCCGTTTTCAGACCAGCAGTCTACCAAGATAACTGAAACTGTGGAAACCAAAGCAATGTTCAAGAGAGAACTAATGTATTAGTTTCCTCTTAAAAACAGTGGAAGGAAAGTCAGCCAGGTGCTGAACTCCCACATTGTCTACCATAGTTCAAGTCCCTGACTTCGTGACTTACTTTATCACGTTCTCTTTCTCTGGTGAGCATACATCCTATAGCAAACTTAAAACAACAATAATAATAATGATAGTAAATAAATAATACTAAAGTGAACTTTTAGTGCTGCCATTTTTTTCTTGACATTTTCTCAGACTACTTTGCCAAAGATGATAATTATAGCAGTAACTGTCACTTACTAATAGATACATAATGTGTTTTTCAGTTAGATTACACAAATAACTAGTCAGTTGTCCTTTTACATTAGTTACATCAGATATAATTGCTAAAACAAACTAGTTTTATCTAATTGTGTCTGGATTAGAAGATTGAAATCAGATGAAACAACAGCTGCTCTTAAAATTGGGTATGATTTAATGTATTTTAAATATATTTTCAGATCTTTAAGATTATTGGATCAGAGAAAAGAACCACATTAATGCTACTTTTTGTTTGTTTTGTTTTGTTTTTGAGAGATTTTTGCAATAGCATGGAAGGTATTGCTCACTGAGGAGACAGAAGGTGAGAAGGCACCCCCCCAGGGTAATGACCAGGCCCAAATTCATTCTCAGATTTGGGGCATGCATAAACACATACACATAGCGTGAGTTTAAAGCCACTGAGTCTGTGATCTGAACCTTGGTTGACCATATGAGAATCTAGTACCTTAACTATTATGCCATCTCTTGGCCCCTACACTAGTGCTATATGTATTATCTTATATTAAAAGTATTTATTTAAAACTACATTATCCATGTTACAAGAAGACTTTAGCTCTCATTTTTGCTTAAAATTCTGAAACTTATTAGGCCATAATTAAGTTGATTAAGTAATTAATACAAACTCAGTAAGTACACTTTGGTTATTTTTTTAATGTGACAATTTAATTAGTATTTATTTTAATGCACTGTGCAAATAAATGTAAATACCTAAGATAACAATAGATAAGTAGGAAGATTCAAAAGGTGGTAAAAAGTATGGGTAAGATTAACTTTTGAATATACTAATCTGATTTGTATTTAATAAGGTTATATATAATCTGTGTGTTACTGTCTTACAGAAAACTGTTTCTGATAAGGAATACAAAGTTTTTCAAATAAAACTGGAACGGTTAGAAAAGCTGTGTAGGGCTCTCCAAATGGAAAGAAATGAACTCAACGAAAAGGTGGAAGTCTTGAAAGAGCGACTCTCTAACAAAGTAGCAGAAGCAGATTTAACAATGCCTGTGATACAGCCCTGTGTTACCTGAATTCTCTCAAGAAACTTAATACTTCTAAAAGAGACCCAGGAATCAGTCTGGAAGTCAAACCCCAAGGAGTGAATGAAACAAAATGCCTGTCAAAAGATCCTCTTCACAGAATCTCTTTCAGGCTTTCAGTGAGTGGACTAAGAAGTGTGAACACTGAAGTAAGAAAATATTTTGCTTATAGTTTTTTTCTGTTTGTAGTTTTTGGTTTTCTGGTGAAACTTTTCATACTTTACTGCCACATCTGTATTTTCTTGAAAGTGTAAACTCAGCAGGAGGTTGATTTTTTTTTTTTAAGATCTGTATATTTATACAACTGTGATAGATATCAGCTTCACGTTTTTCTCTTTATAAGAAGGTATGTATGTATGTGTGCACACATACTAAACAAATAATTTAAACTCTCTAGTCCATAATATATAAAAAGTAAAATATAGAGATGATTAGTTGTGTAGCAGTTCATTTAAATGCCAAGTAAAAATAAAGCTTAAGTGTAGGATTAGAAAAATGCACATTAAATTTAGTTTGTTTTTTTGGGGGCGGGGGGTTTTGAGAGATTTTTCCTATGGGCATGTGCACTCATTGGAAAGACAGAGAGTGAGAAATCACCCCTTGGGGTACGATGGCCATGCTGCAATCCTTCTTTATTCTCTTGGGATTTTGAGCATGTAGGCACACACACCAGATGTGAGTTTTAAGCTGTTGGGTCTAGGACTCGAACCATAGTCGACTATGGGAATCCAGTAATGTAACTGTTACATAATCTGTCAGTTCCTACATTAGTTGTTTTAAATAATTCCATATCTGATAAATTAAAATAAGCCCAAGCATTCTGTTTTTCAAAGTTGGTAGGATATGTATATAACCATGTCATTTATAAAGAAAGTCCTGCAGGCATATTATTGGACAAACAGACTTTTACCCTGCTCTGCCTTGGTTTCAGGTTAGAACAGATGTTTAAAGAATAAAACTCAGTGTCCAGATCTCTGCAGTTGGAATTGAACATTTCAGAGCCTTCACAGATGTTCCTTAGTTTTCCTGTTATTTCATTGTATAATGTTGCTAAACATTACTTAATGTTCCTGTTACATTTATGGTCTTAAGTTGAGTAGAAAATGGAAAAATTCCCAGTAGCTAAGAAAAAAGTAGAAATATAAAGTTAGTTATAAACTTCTACCCAACTGTCATAATCCAGGAGCCAGATAGTGGAGGAAAATAACTTTATATGAAATTTGATAAATTGCTTACAAAATGAGCAGACACCTTTCTGTTCCTTCCCTCTCCCAAAAAAACAAAAGCATATTAACTTTTGCTACCAAATGAAATACTGGGCCCATTTCTTTAAAGAAAAATGAACTTATTATCAGCAATTTAATATATTTTAAAGTTAATACCAATGGTTGTACTTTAACAGAATCCTGCTGGTTGTTAACAATTTATTATTTATCTGTAGCCCACCACACTTCTTTGTTGTACTTATGTGGAAGGTAAATCTTGGGATAAAAGTACTTTGTTAACAGGTTTTTGTATTGTTTTCCACAAACTATATTAGGTATTATTCTGTAAAATAATATGTTATTTTCCAGATTCTATTTAGTTAATGGTTGGTTTCTTTTCAGTATTCTTTCTCTGATTTTAAAGTAAAACAACAATTTGTTTAAAAAGTGAAAATCTTTGAGCATAGCTCTCCTAAATGGATCTCTACCATTCTCAGCATGTTCTGTATTCTAGAACAGTGATTGGTTGACCATTTCTTTGTTTGCAGAGTTGTTTTACACTATAGCTTCATAGTTGAACAAATCCAAATTATTTATAATCTGGCCCTGTTTTTTTTAGCACTGTTAGAAAAACACTGTTAAGTAGCTCAGGAGAAGTTGAAATGTTTTAACTTAATTTGTTGTACTATTTTGTGGGATCTTGAGTTGTAACATGTAAAAGAAGTGACTTCCAAGATACTGAAACAACTTGGGTCTGAAATGACAGCATTTCTTCTTCAGATGTGTAGAAATACATATATTCATTATGCAGTGATTTTTAGTTTATATAAAGAGCTATTTTATTACACTTTGTTATTACAGTTCAGTTCTCAGGTGTTATAGAAATATCTACTACCTCTTTCAAACTATAAATGAAAATAACTGTGAAAAAAGGATGCAACACTAATAAGCATTGCTTTATTTTTAGCTCACATGAAGATAAGCATTGTTAAGAGGCAGTCTATTTTTGCTTTTCAAAGACTTTGTAAAGATTTTTCACTAATGGGATTCTGATTTTATCTCTTCAACTATGTTTAGGTTAAGTAAAGATATAATTATTAATATAACAGCCTCTGTGTATTTTTTAATAATTATTTGCTCTTGTATCCTAACAATTACCAACGTAAAAAGGATCTAATCTTTAGTTCATTCAATGAATGAGAAAGGTTTATTTAATTCTAAGTTCTGAGGATGGTGCCCTCAGCACCATTGCAGCCATTGCCTCCCAAAAGAGCAAAGTACAAAGTCTATTTTATGAATAAAGAAGGGAGTAAGAAAAGAGGGCTAGGGAAATTGTAATGAAGAGTTTATTTTGCTTGTTTTTTTTTTAAATTATTTGTATTGTTTTGTAATTCATTTATTTCTTCCATGAGAGAGAGAGAGGGAGAGACACACAACATTTTAACAATGTGACTTCTCACAAGGCTCTTTGGTTTCAGGGAGATTTATCATGTCCAAATTTAAATAGTAGGAATATTTGTACAAGTAATTTCAGTGTCTTTTCATTGACTTTATTGTTGATGAGCAGAAGTTCATCTAATCCTATGTGAGCAAGTAGGACAGTTTTTATTTTATATCCAATCTAGGATAAAGCTATTTGTTTATCTATTGAAGGTGCTTTTAAAAGAAGCCAACAGGTGGGACCACCAGTAGTCATAGATCTCCATGTGACTGGACTCCCACATTAACCACAGCGTGGAACCCAGTGACTTGGAAATCGTGGGAGGTATGTGTTTGTGTATGTGCGCCCAAGATCTCCATGTGGGGACCCAGCAAGGGAGGTTGTCTCACTTTCCCTATCATTGTGTCTGTCACTCCAGTAAACACATGTGCCCCAAGACAAAAACCTTAAACAAACAAAAAGTCAAGGAATAAATAATGCAAGGGAGAGCCAAGAATCTGTTAAAACAACCATTGGCAAAGATGGGTACCAAATCAACTTTTGTGAATTTCAATGTAATGAGAACTCAGAGAAACTAGGGGTGTGCTTTGTTTAAAATACTGCTAAATTGTGTAAGTGTGTGGCATTTTTCCTAGCTAACTACTATCCCATTGAAATCCTGTTTGCTATTTGCTAACTCCTTCCAAATAGGATGTGTTTCTATTTCACCTTCCAATTACCTGGGGGAAATGTTACAAACTAGTTTGCAACTTTTTTGTGGCTGTTTTGTAAGCTCTCTATGTCTGCAACATCCTTGACCCCAGACTAAGTCCATACTTGGTACTAGCTCTGCTGGGCCTGATGTTATAAACCAGGTTTCTATTCCGAGTGGTGCTTGGAGATCTGTTTTCTGTAACATTTTTCCCTTCAGTTACCAGGAAACCAACTGCACTGGCCCCTTAAGCCACCGGTTTGGTAGGAGGAGCTTGCAGGAACAAAGGGGCCCCAGATTGCAGTGAAAGTGACACCTGGGTCTTTTTCTCATGTCCTCTTATCTGGGGCTCTGATACTCTGTAGGCAACTGACCCCTACTAGAGAGAGGACTACCCCAGACAGAAAGCATCCAGTCAACTCAGGGCTGAAACTACTGGATAAAGTCAGGTCCCAGATTTAGAAACCCTGCTTTGTAGGAAAAGAAACCTTGATCACCTGTGGTCTCCCATTGAAACCACCTGAGTTCAGGTGACTGTGTGGTCCCCCTGCTGAGAGGCCACCAACTGGGATCTCCCAAAAGGGAGAGGACATTGTGATAAACCCTGGAGTGTGTCAGTTTTTGTGCCTCCCTGTTTTCAAAATATATAGTTTGCATCTTCACCTATGTTTCTCTCACAAGGAGGAAAGTGTTGGGGGTGGGAGAGGGATTTCTCCTTATGTCTAAAAAACCCCTTTGCTCCCTAGCTCTTGGCTAGTTTGTTTCTGTCCTAATCTGGGCTCAAGGCTTGTTCCTTTTGTCTTGCTGTAGAGTGCCATCGAATAAATACTACCATAGCCAGAGTAAGTTTAAAGGGAGTCTTTATTAGATGTCTGCGACTACAATCTAAGGCTTGAGATGGGGGCGAGTAGGACCAAGAGTCAAAACTATAACCTCTACTAAAGTTTGAGTAGTCTTTTTATAGGGAGTTATTTACCAGGGGTATCTATGCAAGTAGTTACAGAAGCTGAATCAAGCAGGTTAATTATTTCTGGAGGGAATGGGGTTTCCAAGCAATCAGTTACATTGCTAAACAAAAGGGTTTAAGGCTAGTTAGCAAAGATAGTAGTAGGTACAGGATGTCATCCCAGATTCAGTTTTCTGTAAGGCCTAGCACAAGCTATTTATGGGAAGAGCAAGCAGGTGTATAGAAGTAGACAGCCATGTTAGGGTAAAGGAAAAAAATGGACAAACAGTTGTTCATGTGCAAGATCTAATATGTGGCCTTCCACATTCTCCCCTTCTGATTTGGAGAATCAAATCATTGATTCAATGAAGGAGAGAGTTTCACAGCAAGAGTGAAGAATTGTGAGCCTAACAGATTGGATCCGGTTCTGAACAAAGTTACTGAGAAAACAGAGGATGCAAGGGCAAGGAGAAGCAGGCAGGACCCACAACAGCAAAGAAGAGGGTGGTTAGCCAGGGAGACCAAGAGAAGAGAGATTGATACCAATTACCCTCAGAGGAGCACTGCTTCTCACACTCTAGGAGACATTTGCAAATCTGCCTCCGGCTGTCCCTAATGACCCCAGAGTGGTTGGTATTGAACTGAGGCCCAGGCCCAGAAGGACAGGCCACAGAGGCCCAACAGGATTGGAGCGGGGGAGGGTGAGGGACAAGGTGTTTCTGAATAAGAAAAAGAATGCAGGGGTCCTAGCCCCAGACACAAAGGCATAAAAATGGCCACACTTCCAGGTGTCGACCCAGTTGAACCATGAGGGGATTGTAAGTGCCAGCAGAGAAGCAGGCACCAATGGTCAAGAGAGAATCCAGATGTGAAGGAAGTTTATGTGGGGAGGGCAGGGCAGGGAGAAAGAGAACAAGTAAGTATCAGGAAAGTCAGTGCAATTATTGATCTTGAGGCAATCAGAGGAAGGCTGAAGTCCCCGTCTCTGC